GTTTTAAGACAGACTTTTAAGATAGGTACGTATTATGATTAATTGCTTAGTTATTATTTGATTTCAAATTGTACCAAGTTATTAGTAGGTATTCAAAAATATTACATATGAATAAGACGTAACATAATATTGTGACAGACCGTAATATTAGTGTTATGGAGTGTATTATTGAAAAAGAATTAAAGGAAATTATCGGTGAAGGTGCTTTCGGGAAAAATTGTAATTTAGTGTGGTTTAAGTTATAATTGTATGATTGGAGGAGAAGAATGGTGATTCCGACGAATATTTTGGGATGTTATAACATCTGATGGATCTCATCATAACATAATGATCAAGTTAAAACTTCAATATTTTGTACTACGCAAATGTCTTGAATCCGACTTACTATTCGGTAATGAATTCGTTTTTTATGAAAAGATCATACCGTTCCTATCGAAGTGCTGAGGACCAACATTTAATGATGCTCATTTCATATTTTTTCCACGTTTTATTTATGGTGGTAATAAATGTAGAGAATTTATGGCAAATGATTTAATTGTTGTTGAACACGTTAGTACTTTAGGATATTCTTTAAATAACGAGAAAGAGTTCTTGAACATCGATCATTTAAAAATCACACTTCAGACAATAGGAAAGTAAGTAGTAGTAAGTAGTAAGTAGTAATATATTGAAATATTTGTAAAAATGTAATTATTCAGCACACGAAAACATTTTTTTAAGTAAAAAAAAAAAAAAAAACATAGAAATGTATAACTATTGTCTATTAACAACATTCTACGGCTTATAATATAGTCAATCATTATCTCACTAATAATATATCCCATACTATTATTATACATTTACACTATTTAACACAGCTCTGATCATAATTCATCAATTTGAATTAAATTAATTGATCCAGAATTTTTTGAATAATATTATACAATTAAAAAATTAAATTTAAAGTGTAATTTTTGAAACTGAAATAATATTACTAAAGTCTTTTTAGCTTATAATATCATATGTATTGATTATAATGAGTATCTAAATATATCTTTTCCTACAAACGTAATAAACAGCACCTGTAATATTATACAATGTGTAAATTATTATTCTCTTATTCACATGGTACCTACCTAGATTGAACTTTTTTTTAAATGTTGTCACATATTATAAATATTATTTTTATATATTACTATTGACATTATTAGTAGAACACTATTAGTACACAATATAGGAATAAATAGATGGGTAAATATAATATTATATTTATCGACTTATATGTGACTTGTATTAATAAAACAATTTAACGTTCAGGTCTCATGGACTATCGTATACTGCCAAACACAAAGACCCTGACAGATTCCGGGACCTCATCGCTGGTATCAAAGACACACAGTTTGACGTCAACGGCCACTGGATGGCGCAGAACGGATTGTTGAGAAAGTGCGGCCAACGAGAGGTGAAACGATTGTTGGAAGGGGATGGTGGCCGGTACAGGGATCACGCTCACTTACGCCGCTTGAACGAGCTCTTGGACGACGCTAAGAACACCATAAGACAGACGATGGGAGCCTGAGAACCACTGTCGGTCATATGTGACGGCGATTACCACGCTTTAACACCAAGTTGTTATTCCAGTACGACGAGCACGGATTATACTTCTAGACTTCTATTCGATTCATTACGGGTCACACCCGTTGGACTTGTCGTCGTTCTTATACAATATGTCTACCACGCAGCGGGTGTGAGAGTTGCACTGGGACGACTTACTGGACACCTACTGCGCCGCCCTGGCCGCGTCTGTCCCGCCCAGCGCCCGAGTCCCTATTCGCGCTGAAATTGACGCCTAGATGGCCGCGACCACCGTCGATTAGCCTGCCGTATATGTTACGTGTCAGAAGCGATGAACTGGATTCGTTGGTGGCGAGTGACGATCTGGTGGACTACTTTCTGGCGTTAGGTGGTGATCTGGCAACCGAGTGCATAGCCGACATTGCATAACATCTAGTCGACATGGGCTAATAGGGAATGTGAGACTTGACGTACACTCTAATCCGTGGGTCAAGGACACGAACTAATAATACAGTTTGCCCACATACGTAGTTGAGCTAATTCGTGTATTTTGTTCCTTGTGTTTTAAAATTCTATACCTATTCAAACTTTTTGATTCCATGACGCCATGACGAACTCTTTACAATATTATGATGCCTCTCAAATTATTATTAAGAACGTAGACAGAAATTTTCGTAATGTAAAATTATGTACCGGAAAATTCGAAATTAAATGATTTACGTTTAGAATAAAAGAACATTAATATATTAATCATTATCATCGTAATTTTGGCTTCTTCTTCAGTGCCAGTTCTCTGAAAAAATATATACGACGTCTTTTGGAGCCGTAAATCACAGTTTTAATACTTCTGATTTAGACCATATTTTATACGTATATATTGTTGATTAGACTATAATAAAATATACTGTAAAACAAACACATTATGTTGCTTCATTTGTTGTATTTCGAGACTATTAACTGCAACATGACAGGCTTCATAGTATACTGCCATTATATAACAATTGTACACGCATATTAGTATATTTTTTAAAATATTTTACAACTTATAAAATATTTTTAACACATTGAATTATATTATGTAATAAATAATTAAATTATTTACAAGCGTAAATATTATATTTGTTTTTATTATTTGAAATTGTTTCTAAAAATGTAATTTTTTAAAAGTTAAACTAAAATATATTACCTACCTATGTGTTATGTATAATATATAAATTAAATATATTTACTGAGTATTTTTAAAATATAAAATATCTCTTTGTGTAATCGTTGCACTTTAAACTTGTTTAGACTTGGTTAGGTTTAGGTTCAAATTATACAAAGAATAAATTAAGTTAAAAAATTAATTTTTCATAAATTATAACCTGCTGTCTGCCTATTATCCAACAACTTATTCAATGTTAAGTAAATATTATTTATATGTTTCAAAGGTATTAGTATTAAATTTCACATAACACAATTTTATCGATGAGGTACATAATTTGAGCTCTGGAATTACAATTGAGAATAATTGAAAGAAATAGTAGCCAGAAATAGTAGCCGTTTCAGAAAACGAAACCGTCCGAAAATACAGGAAAGTGGTGACTGGTCGATGACCACCAGTTGAATTTGGATTTCGACTACCTAGTCATGACGCCCCAACGCTGATAAAGTGAGTGACCAATTATATAAGCATTACATTTTTAACTAGAATAGTACTATATAATGGTAATTTAGGTTTCGTCTTAGTACGATTGTGTTTTTGGACGTTATTTGTTCTTAATCTTGAACATATTATCATGTTTTCGGTAGAAATGTTAACATCTTGTTCTACGTAAATCCAACGAGTCTGGCGAAAAACAAAGAGCTTGTATTTTGCAGTTTGGGAAAAGTCGTAATGCGGCGGAACAGCACAATCAGAATATAAATCGATGGACTCACCGGATATAAGTAGTAGTGTTATTATCCAGATTTATTTTGAAATTAATACCATATTTATTCTATTAATAATAATAATATTATATTGGTATTTAGTTTTGGTCTGGGTATAATAACACTATGAAGTTGTAAACGAAAAGTGTACACTAATATGTTACGATAATACGCTTATACGTCTTGATGCATTGTTTGTTTTTCGGTTTTTCAATGAATTAGTACCTAATTACAATCAAAATAATGTATAAAATAATATCAACACATCATAATAAATATTACAAATGTACAACTATATGAGTCATAATTAAATTATACTAATACCTAAAGTAACAACCTCAATTCGGTATGCTAGGAGCCGCTCGGCTGCTTGATTGTTGCTGTGATCTTTACCACGAGCACTTGAAACAATTCAACGTACTTATTGGTGACGGAGACAATTCATTGACACGTGCGATGAATCCCCACGAGCAGCCAGACATCGTGTGCCATCGTTTTCCAGTCGATGTGTTTCTGTTTCATTTCGAAATGCTTAATTATGGGTCACCAGTCGGTTTTCGTGAATATAACGACAAGTGTAGCATATTATACACACGTATTTATAACTTATAATCAACGTATACAACTGAATATCTACTAAATTATTCAATTACATAATATTTATGATCGATATCGACATCTTATTCACAATCTATTTACGTCAAACGATTCTAATCTGACATTGGTCATGGTAGAACGGGTTCTATATACTTAGTTAATAATATTAATTTGTTACTACCATGCCTCTACTGCAGATAAATAATGTTATTCCAATAATGTAGCTAAGACCTTGTAATATTTTAAAAATAATTATGAGATAATCAAATTTTAACTATCAGTCAAATCACACTTATAAATGTATTTTAAACAATGACATAACTATTGCAGTTTTTTATATTATAATAAGATATAATCTTGAGTAAGTATAATTTACATTATGGCGTATTAAAAAATGAGTAGATTTTATACCTATATTATACGATTAATATAAAGAGTGGGTAACTATGTTATTATTTTTTATGTTGTGGTATTATCCTAATTCCTAATAGGAATTATTATGAAACGAAAAACCTGCCCCGTATTATTCAAATTCTTAAAAATTAAAATAATAAATTAATTTAGTATAGATGAATATTGGTTGAATTAGATTAAATTAAATATATTTTAATCATCACATTTAGTGAACATTAAAACTAAAAATAATTTTGATGACAACATCTGGTGATTTGAGTTATATTGATTGTGTGTATACACGGCATTAGAAGTGAAGTACAAAGATAATAATACAGTATATTATATTTTGTTATTAGCTAAATCGAATTAGTACTCAACGAGAATTAAGGAAGTTGAACGTATTGTGATCAAACAATCATTTCAGCAATGGAGTCTTTATTGCAAGAAGAATTGCCAACAATTGTAAGCAATGGTGCGTTCGGAAAAAATCTCAAATATGTATCATTTGAATTGGACAAGGATCTCGTCGGACAGAATCAGTACATGTCAACAGTATTATTTGGTACAGTCACAACATCCGATGAATCAAAACATCGTGTTCTGATTAAGTTAAAACTTCGAGATGAGGAAACTAGAATTAAGTTTAAAATCGACTTTCAATTCCACAACGAAATTACGATGTATGAAAAAATTATACCATTTATATTTGAATGTTATCGCTCTATGAGAGGTGTTGGGGACTGTCCCACATTGGCTAGATGCTTTTACGGTCGTAATAAATGTGGTGAGTTTGCTGAAAGAGATTTAATAGTATTGGAGAACGTTAATCCTTTGGGATTCCGATTGAGTGAAGCACGTCCTTTTCTTGACTATGATCACGTTTTAATTGCATTCCGAACTTTAGCAAAGTAAGTTATCACAATAATATTTTTATATAAAAATAAATACAATGGCTTATACATTTAGGGAGTTTGAGGTTTTCTCACGAAACAAGAGACTTTGTGACGATTTCTGAACTTTTAGTCATATTCAAATATTTAATACTATACAAAATAATTTTTTATTAAACTTATCATTTAACGTGTAAAAGTCTGAGTACAAATGCTATTTTGAAACAATGTTTAAAACAATAAAATAAAATATAATGAATTTATTTCACTTTAGGTTTCATGGGTTGTCATATACAGCGAAACACAAAGAACCCGGTCGACTTCAAGAAATCACTATGGATATCCGGGATACACAATTTGATGCAAATGGACAGTGGATATTTAATAACAACGCATTAGGTAAATTTTTTAAGCGAGGAGTCGACCGACTAATTGAGCGTAGCGGTAACCTTTACCGGGACAACGAACACTTGCGACGAATTAAAGTGCTCATCGATGACGGAAACAACTCACTGAGACGTGTGCTCGTTCCCCAAGAACCGTTTTCCGTCGTGTGCCACGGGGATTTCAATCGAAACAATGTGTTGTTCCGGTACGACGAGTCGGGACTTCCAGCTGACGTTTTGCTATTCGATTTTGGAACTCCTCGTTACGGGTCTCCAGCGTTAGATCTGTCGTTTTTCTTGTACATGAACACAACGCAAAACTTGCGTAAAAGTCGATTGGACGATTTACTGAACGCGTACTGCTTGACGTTAGCTGAATCCGTACCGTCCGGCGTCCGGGTGCCAAACAGAGCCGAACTGGACTCCGAAATGTCCAAGTGTGCCTTTTTGGGATTAGCACATGCAATTTTTTTCTTACCCCATCAGTTAGAATCTGATAACATTTATCGTGAGGGAATGGACGAAGAAGAAACTACAGAGTGGCTATTACAGCTGGGTGGTGATACTGCAACGGATCGAGTGGCTGACTTAGTCCAACACATCGTCGATATGGAATACACAAATTTGTTACGTAGTTAACGGTTTTTTCAGTTGTTTGGTAATGATCACCATAATGTAATTTTATGTTGCTTTGATTTTCATTTAAATATTTAAAGATATTACTATGTTTTTTTTTTATAATTAAAATGTTTAATATTATGAATGTTTGTATTAACGCAGGTTTATGTATCAATATTATTATATTTTACATAAGTCCTTGTTTAACCTACCTACCAAATTGTATACTATATGCTTTCATATGATATATTAACCGGTCCACTTAAGATACTTTAAGTCACAGAACAATACATTTTCTTAAAACATAGTAATTAATTAGAAATTAATGAAACGTTATTAAAAATATTAAAATTATTTTAACTGAAAAATTGGTGGGAATTGAATTTTTTTGTTTAAAAAAGGTTGACATTGGTTACAGGTTATAATAGAATTGAGTATAATATTATATTGTAATATATATTCAATGATAATAGTAGGGGAGAGTGTTGTACCTTGGCACCATTTTTATAAAAAAAATTCTAGAACCTTTAATTTTGAATATTAAATGTTCATTTTTATTACTCATATAGACAATACACATAAGTATATGGTAATTTTTTTTAAAGGCCTTATATCAATTATTTTTTAAATTAAAATTTATTTTTTAAAAACACAAAAAATGGTCCAAGGTACAATATATATTGTACCTTGGTATTTGGGGTATTGTACCTTGGTTTGCATTGAAATATGCATACTTAATTTCAAAAATAATTTTATATTATGTATTTGATTAGTTATGAATGCCTAGTTATTATTTATTTCAATTATTATAGTTACAAAATATATTTATTATTATTTATAGATACCTACCTATAATATTACACAATAATAAGAAAGGTAAATAAAATAAATAAACTTCAGTCTCATGTTGTCTTTACCCTTTTAATACCTCATTTGCTTCTAGGCATAATAACTGTAGGTACTAATCTACAAGCAATTAAATAATAATTTTTAATGAAATACCAATTTATGAACAATTAATGGATGGTCCAAGGTACAATTTTTTTTTTGGTCCAAGGTACATTCGAGTTATATTTTTATTAATTGTTCTTTTGGCCATTTTGTACATTTATATTGTAACAAAGGACCACACCATTCAATTAAATACAATATTTAACATAGATGAACACTTACCTTATTAATTTAAATGAACAAATTAAAATACAAAAAGTTGTGTTTTAAAATTCAAATATTATTTTTTTAGTGATAAGAAAATGATTTGCTGTTTATCAAAAAAATACGCGCATTTTTGCTATCAATTTCTAAATTATTTATTGTAGTAGGACTAATGACGTAAATTTCTTCCATGAGATTTTGTTTTCCCCCAATATTTTATAAAATATTTACATTAGTCCAAGGTACAAGCGGTCCAAGGTACAACACTCTCCCCTAATAATAGAAATTAGTAGGGGCTTCTTGGGTTTTTTTTATATTTCAATGGTTGCCATTGATTACGCTGGCAGATGTGGTAAGACCCTGATAATTACACTTCTATTATAGACACCACAGTTATCACTGGGTGTGCTCGAGGATAGATAGTTTTCATCCCAAGAATACCGTTAATCCCAAGTGATTATAACATTTATATATGATTTTAAAAGAATACAGTTCCCTCTTAAGGTATGATTTTCCATGACAACGAACAAACCTCAAGGAATATCATTGAACATAGTTGGCATCGATTTGAGAGAGGGCTGTTTCTCACATGGACAGTTCTACGTCATATGTTGCAGGGTTAGCTAGCCTTGCTATTGTGCTTTATAATAACTATGTTTTTCTAACCGTTACAGTTGTCATTTAAACCAAACAAAATCATGATTTAAATTTTGTACATAATATATAGATAGTTATAACTTATAACAATTATTTAGTAATAACAATTTTTTTTTAACGATTTCGTGTAGTTTATTACACACGTTACAGTTACGATGGCTACTAAACAAGATAAGTGAATAGTGTTCTATTAACCGACTTTGCGTTACACAATAAACCGCATTCATGAAAACACTTAAAATATTTAACTATAAAATGAACCGCAAGTATCAGTAAATAATGTTATTTACTTTACTTGTTTATCAATAAATATAGGCATAAACTACTGTAATAAAAAAACCAAAAATGATGTAATAAACAAATAATATTGATAGCTTCTATTATACTGCACATTAACGTATTAATGAATAAGTGAGGTGATAAGTGATTTTAGAGGCGTGGCTTAAAGATAATAGGTATATACGATTTGCTATGCAATCATAATTCATAATTGCCCAAATGATAAGTACTCAACTAAATAACATACAAATAAGACCCGAGGAGGTTTGATCCGTCTGTCCCACCCGGCGTCCAAGCCCCAGGTCACGCTGAAATTGACGCCGGGATGGCCGCGACAAGGGATTTGCCAAAACGTTGACTGGCCTGCCGTATATGTTACGGTCCAGAAGCGATGAACTGGATTCGTTGGTGACGAGCGATGATCCGTTGGACTACTGTCTGTCGTTGGGTGGTGATTTGGCAACCGATTACTTTCCTTGTTTATCAACAAAATTAATAGGCATAACTTACTGTGAATACAAAACGAAAAAATGTGTAACAAACAAATAATATTAATAACTTGTATTATACTGAAGATTAAAGTATTAATGAATAAGTGAGGTGATAAGTGATTTTAGAGGCGAGGTTTCAAGATAATATATATATATATAATATATATGATTTGTTATGGAATTATAATTCAATTGTAAATCGTCAAAATGATTAGTACTCAATTAAATAACATAAAAATAAGACGTAAAATATTGCAACCTACTGATTAAAAGTTACGGAAGGTGTCCTTGAAGAATAATTCAATTCAATTGTCAGTGAAGGTGCGTTCGGTAAAAATTGTAACTTAGTGTCATTCAAATTATATAATAATTGTATGATTGGTATGAAAGAATGGTGGTACAAAAGAATGTTTTGTGACGTTATAACTTCGGACGGATTACATCATGACATATTGATTAAGTTAAAAATTCAAGATTTGGTATTGTGTGAATGTTTTGGATGCGACTTTATGTTTAATAACGAATTAATATTTTAGGAAAAGATCATACCGTTTCTACTAGAGTGCCGGGGACCAACAGTCAATGATGCAAATGTCCTATTTTTACCACGTTTTTATTATGGTCGTAATAATTGTAGTGAACTTATGGCAAATGATTTAATTGTTATCGAAAACGTTAGTACATTAGGATATTGTTTAAGTAATGATAAAGTGTTCTTGGACTTCAACCATTTAAAAATCGCACTTCAGACGACAGCAAAGTAAGTTTACCTGAAATATTTATATATTTTATTTTTCATCGCACAAAAGCCTTTTTTTGAAATTAAAGTAAAAATTAAGAGATGAGTAATAATAATTAATAATTACTAATATAATAATTATATAAATTGTCTATAAAATCTACTACTATACCTTCTATACCTCGTTCAGGTTTCATAGACTTTCGTATACTGCCAAACACAAAGATCCTCGTAGAATGTACGATGTCATAGAAAACCTTCACAACATCCAGCTCGATGAGAATGGGCACTGGATGTCTCAGCACGATATCTTTAAGAAGTGCGGTAAACTAGGAGTGGACCGACTGTTGGAACGAGGCGCGGAAAGGTACCGGGACCACGTGCACATACTCCGCTTGAACAAGCTGTTCGATGGCTCCTAGAACACGTTATTGCAGACCTTAAACGGCTGAGAACTACTGTCCGTCATATGTCACGGCGATTTGCATCGCGAAACTTTGATGTTCCAGTACGACGAGCAATGCAGGGACACCCGTTCGACGCACTGGCCTTAGACTTTTTTACGCTACATTACGGGTCACCAGCATTGGATCTAGCATCGTTCCTGTATATGTCTACCACTCAGTGGGTGCTTGAAGTGCACTGGGATGACTTGCTGAACACTTACTGCTCCGCACTATCCGCGTCCGTCCCACCCGGCGTCCACGTCTCTGGCCGCACAGAAATTGACGCCGAGATGGTCGCGACTACTGTCAAAGCGTTCGCCAAAACGATGATTGGCCTGCCGTTTTTGTTGCGCACAAAAAACGATGAACTGGATTCGTTAGTGACGAGCGACGACCCGGTGGACTACTTTCTTGCGTTGGGTGGCGACATGGCAACCGAACGCTTGGCTGACATAGTGAAGCATTTAGTCAACATAGACTACACTGATGTAGGGCGTGATTTTCACTCTGATCCAGCTGAGAATTTAATCTCAAAATAGTTTGTCTACATATATGATTGAACTAATTTGAGCATTTTGTTCCTTGCCGTTTGTTTTTAAATTTTTCAGACAATTCTTATTTAATTATAGATTGTTGAGTGGATTATATTATATTCATTCCAATGTTAGATGTACAATAGGTATTACGTGTTTATTAATTAAAAGCAATACCTTATGCATTTTATTATTTTAAAAACTATTTAGTTCTCCGGAGAGCATGTACATTATTTATGTTGAACTGTTTATTAAAAAACAATTGAAAGTAGTTGTTGCTGTAATACTGGTTGGAAAAAATTGAAACTTTTAATCGTGGTGCTTGGAACACTAGGAAAGTGACCAATAAATATCTAATGTTTGATCAGATTAGTACAACTGGTAGTTAAACCTCGTTAGCTTTCGTCGTATTACGATTATATTTCTTGATCTTGAATATCATATATTATATTGTTGGTAGAGATGTTTAAGCCATTAGTCTACCTAAATCCAGCGGTTCCGGTGAAATTAAAACCAACTTAAAATTTTTTGCATCAGACAAATCGTTGGTAGTACTACTAACCGTACGGCGGTACAAGCCGACCAGAATATAAATCACTGGACTCGCCAGTCGCCGTCATAGGCGTAATCTAGGGTAAATTCTTGGAAGGGAAATCTCTGGTAAAACTAAAAATCTATAAGGTAAAAATATGACACTATAGCCCAATCAGTTCTGAGGGGGCAGTTGCCCCCTTCTCCCCCCTAGATGACGCCTATGCACACCGTATTACGTAGTACGTCACGGCATTAGGAATCAGGGCTTAAATCCAAAAATAATAATACCGTTTACCGTTATATGGATATCAAACGTTATGACCAAATTACTGTTTAACGTTACATGATATTAAACGTTATGATCAATTTAGCGTTTAAGGTTATATGATATTAAACGTTATGATCGATTTATCGTTTAACGTTATATGATATTAAACGTTATGATCGATTTATCGTTTGACGTTATAAAAAATTTAAACGTTTATAAAATGTCCCGTTTAACGTTTAAACGTTTTAAATATTAATTATTTATAACGTTTAAACTTTATGAAACACTAGTCTTGACTCTTGAAAAATTGGGGAAGGTTATATAATTCTAGTTATAACTTATAAATTATAACTTACTCATTACTTTTTTTTGTTACTAGTTACTTCAAATTTACTTCAAATTTACGTATAATGAAATATATATAAATATTAAATTGCAAGATAGGTACACGATGACACAACACATCATAAATTCATAAGTGATATATTATAATAACTAATAAGTATTTGTGATTATAAATTAAAATTCATAAGTCATAACATATAACTATAAAAGTACCAAAGAAAGAATTTTAATAAGATAAAAATAACTTCTTAAATCTTAAGTGGAGTCACACGGTTGACTATGCCTCCCATAGAATTCAGTTTGATTCATAAAAAAGTGCAAAACAAAAATTGTGTGGTTCTAGTATTCTACACTTTCTTGTTCGATTGTGTTATCTAAATTCCAATTTCCAACTAGGTCCCACTTCAGGACCGCACATGTCTCCTCTTTGAGAAGGGGAGAGAAATATTTATGGCTATTTTATTTCATAGTTCCATGTACATTTAATTAATTTTGATTAGTACCTAATATTAAAGTCACTTTATTATTATAGTCCTATCAAGCAACAGTTCTACAAAACTAACTAAATTCTAATTATATTCTATAGATAGTTTTCAATATTTTCGTAATTTCCTTTGTTGTCTGACATGTTTGTTATGATTCAATTTTTAATCGTTAGTCGTTTTTTGTTGCGTTATTCGATATTAATTTTAATCGTTTATCGTTACTGTTCCGTTATCCGTTATCCACTTCAATCGTTTATCGTTTACCGATATGTTATCCGTTATTCGTTTCAATCGTTTGTCGTTTACCGATATGTTATCCGTTATCGATTTCAATCGTTTTTTGAATCGTTTAACGTTATACTCGTAACGTTATGAAAACGTTTTTAAGCCCTGTTAGGAATCAGATTCAATTTGAAATCAATACAATATCTTTAGGTGTACCTAATGTTAGTTTTGATGTTAGTACTGCATATGAATCTATGAAGTTAGTTACTTATACATGTCACATGATAAGTACGTTTAGTTTGTTCTTTGATCTTTCGATAAGATATAGTAATAATTACAATCAAAGCAATGTGTATATGATTTCAATATATCATAACAGACATGACAAAGCTATTTAATTCGTAGTGATAATACAACTCAATTACCTATATATCCTACATAGTATATACATACAAGGACACCGTGCAATTAATATACATACTACTTATTCTACTTTTTAACGCTAATTCCATTGTTCGTTTTTATAAAAATAGTATTTAGGTAATATTTATTATATTTGCCTTTACATTTAGAGAATATAATAGTTCACATGTTAATTATTATTAATGTGACTTCCTAATAACTATTGAATATTTTATTTTTGTTAATAAGACATTAAGACTATTATAATATTACAACAGTATAACAATATTATTTATAATTAATTTGTGACTCGTAGGGTACGTAGGTAACTAAATGGAATTATATCATCATTGTTTATGATTGTACCTAGGTATACCTACTTATAATAATTATTTTTTTTATAGCTTTGTATTTATCTACCATGTAAAGTTCTAAAATTAACCTAATTTAACAAAATATGTATGTATTAATTATTATATTAACATATAATTTCTGGTACACAAATTAATATTATCAAACTATGTAAAAGGTATCTTTAATAAATTATCTAATTATTTCAGTTGATTAACTGTTTACTTTAAAGGTATAGACTATAGGTACTTGGTTGAATTGATAGTTAATGTAGATATACACAATGCGTGAAGTAGGTGCATAAATAAAAATATTTATCTATGTTTTTTTTTTGCACTAGATAGTTAAAATATTGATATTACAATAAATTTAGGTTATCAAATTATATTTCAAAAATGTAGGTTAATTGAATAGGTTATATTATATAATACACAAAAAATATTTAAATTAAAAATGTAAATAATCTTTTTCAGTTGCGTTATAACTGACGCCGAGTCTTCGTTTAGATGAACATTTTGATAAAACCCATATCGTAATCGGTCAGTTTGACGACTTTCCATCAGAAAATGATAATATCTAAAATTTAAAATATGAGAAAGGGATACGAATTCAAATATTATTAAAATAATTTTTAATAATGTAATATACTATTGTACAGTATATTTTATCATTCAAGTAACATCTCGACTTTATTTTTATTATAAGTTTTACTATCAATGGATTTAAAATCGATAAAACGTAATGTATATAATATATATATATATATATATATATATATATAATATTATTTATAGTCAAATGGTTGACAAAAGCTAACCTGTAAGTTATAAAGTAAACAAAACGAGACTCACAAATATAATTGTTAATAATATACTTAATAATACAATACAATTTATTATATATTAAAATACACATACGTTGTAGGTATACATAATACTTATATAATATATAATTTATTTAAACAATGATAATATAAGTTATCGTAATTCAGTTATCGTAATCCACTGTTAATTATGTATAATGTCTTTCATAATCATGGACGGAAACTATTTTTTAACTTTTTTAAAGTAGTTTTTATTTACAAAAATATATGTATTAATGTCTTGTATATTATATTATCCAATTTAAGTGCAAAATACAATATCGGCAATATACGCACCCTGGCTGAGGTGAAAAGAGTGAACGGGAATTTCTATGTGTTCATAACGCTTTTTGAGTACTAAAATGCTAGTCTCATTAGTCTCAACATTCAAACGCACCATGATTAATAAAAATCTTGTAAACCATTAAGAATCTCAAATCCAAAGGATATAACGGATAACCACAAAAGTTTAATCAATACTGAAAAACATACCAATTATTTAAATTCCGTCCATGTTTATGAAATGCCCTATATTATCCATATGTTGATAAGTATTCAATAAAAATTAATTAGAAACATTATACAATTATGACAGTTTATTTGTATTATCTAAACATCATAATTATTTAAGAGTTAGGACTTACAATTGTGTTTATTATTTTAATAATTTAATGCATAATGAAGACGAGCGTGGTTTTAAATACATGGTGTTCAAAAAATGGTAAACGCTTTATTTACTGTTTGCATATTTTTATACTTATATATACCTAATAGGTACCTACATAAAGTTAGACTGTTGCAAATTAGGTAAAATATTTAATCACTTCATTAATTCATTAAATTATATCATATTATTGTTTATCAATCCTAATAAGTCTAATGACCGTTTCCAAACTTTTTTAACACTGAATAATATTGTTTTATAAATAGTAAATACCAAATTATTGATTGAAGTTTATTCTTGAACATTTTGACGTTTTAGACACATTTAAAATCTTCTGAGAGTTTTTTTTCGTTGATCTAGAACATTCACAGTTTCAGATTTTACGTTACTGTATACTTTCTTCTAATAGCTATTTATTAGTTTTTAATTATTAAAAATCAATGGATTGAAAAAGTCACCATTTTACCTTCGTGTTTTATATTGAACTGGTATAAGCACTATTAGGTATCTATAGTACATACATGTACGACGTGCCGGAATCCCTACTATATTTTATGGACTATTTGCTAAGTCAAAAATCTGGTACCAATCTGATTGTATTATGAACACTTGACTTACATACATCTAAAAACGGATATTATATAATATAAATATTTGAAATTGAAATTTAAGTTCAAGGTTTAAAGTTTAGAATTGTATTTAAAAAATAGACGGACCTTGGAATTTTGAATTTTGAATACCTCATCATAATATCTGGCTGGCAGACCTGGCAGCCCAAAATTGAGTACTTAAAATAGTTTTATTCAGATCTCGGTGTATTCAGTATTGTATAGTATTTTGTACCGTAATATAGGGCGATTTCTTCCCACA